TTTTTCCCATAGTCGAACTAATTTGAATTATCTTAAGTTCCAGCAGCTTCTTGCTTAAAAGGGGAGATGTGGAGTATTCGGTACACACTAACTGCTCAGCTCTTAGTTACTCTTACGTTGTTTTTAACATGTGTATAAGTGATTTACTTTGTAATATATGTTCCCATGTACAAACATGAAACGAAGCAATAAAGCAGTCTTGAAACAGAACTGGTGTACACTACACACTTGGCCTATGGATGTGCAGATAAACTGTTCCTCACTTTAAACTATTTTCATTTTCTTATCTTAGCGGTAGAAATAAATTTGCTATTCCGAAATTATGGCAACGCGAAAGTGAAACTTCACTACATTCGTCATAAAATTTCAAAGGTTGGCAATGCAACATTAGCAAATAAAGAGCAAGAGCCACTGTTAGCAAAAACCAAAACCTTGGTTGAAATATCTAATATATCAGACCCACGAACCAAAACAAAACCAAAATTTAAAGTTGGGTACACATTTTTAAAGGCTACATCGGGTGAGCAACAATTTATCGATTCGATAAATTAATGCGCTGATGAGGAAACGAAAAGTCGTATATGGAGGTGATGAAGTGGCCGGTAATCTAACGGTTAGATGAGAAAACGGCTATAAGTCAGAAAGCCAATTTTCATTCTTCGATTGCGGGTAGTGTTCCGATCTCAATTTGCGTATGTGTATATAAAAAGAATCAAATAAAAACAACACAATGGAAAAGAAATACAGTATGTCTCATAATCCTTTTCACATGTAAATATTTGACAAAGAAAAATGTTTGAAGTGGATTTTGAAATTGATGCACATATTTATTAATTTCTTTTTCACAACATAACAAACTTCATTTACTTGTGCGTCATTTATGGAAAAAAAAAACAATTTTTATTTTCAAGTGTGTTGGAAAACAAGCAATTCAAAGAAAAATATCATATTCGGCACTGTCTCAAAATTCTTTTCACATTTCAACAAAATCGAAGTTCAAATAAGTATACACGAACATTTTGATGTTAATATTTGGTGTGACCGCCTGCAGCGTCTATTACACATTGTAAACTCCTTGGCATCGATGAAATAAGTTTTTTCAGGTCATATTCTTGTGGAATCTTCTCCCACTCCTCTTTGATGCACTGTATTAAGTTGTTTTTGTTTGTAGGACACCTTTTTGCCACTTTCTTTTTCAAATGTGTCCATAAATTTTCAATGGGGTTCATATCTGGGCTTTGGGCAGGAGTATCTAGCACTTTTGAACAATTATATAGCAGCCAAAGACCGGTATATGTAAGACTTGTGCTTGGGATCATTATCAAATCATTGAATATCAATTTATTTGGATTTTCTGGATCAGTGAGTCCAAATTTTTGCACACTTCGTTTTAAATTGTTGCGTAGAATGTCCAAATACATTTCTTTTGTCATATTGTCTTCAATAATTTTGATTTCACCAACATCTTTGCTACATACACAGCCCCATACTATTACACTTAGCTTTCCAAATTTCACTGTGGGAATAACGTTCTTGTTTTGTAGGGCTGTTAGCGGCTTTCTGCAAACTCTTTGAGGTCCATCGTGGTAATATAGCATTATTTTTGTCTCATCACAAAAAAATACATCATCCCAATACTCTACTGGATATGAAATGTGAGTTAGAGCAAAAGAAAGTCGTTTGTCAATGTTAATTTGCGATAGTAATGGCTTTTTTCTTGCACTTCTTGATCAAAATTTATGTCCTTACATTTAGAGAGAACATTTCAGCCAATTGTTTTGCTGATTTACCTTTATGGTAATTATAATAAACCAATTGTATAATATTTTCACTCGTACGATAACCCGGCATTATTGCAAAGACGTTTTCTAATTGATGCGATATAACCAACAGCACGAATCACTTATAACTGACTGAATCATCAACTCTAACTGCAGCAACAACCAAAAATAAAAAATAAAACATAGTATACCGTTAAGTTTCTGATGATTTTTACGTTTCTTCGAATTGTGAAAACAATTTTGAGACAACGTAAAACATGGTGCATTTTTCTTTTCGTTGTTGTTTTTGCATTTTGCGCATTCAAATAATTATCATTTTTGCATAGAAACAAATAGAAGGCGCCAGCAATGTGTTCTGCTGCTAAAAAAGAAATTCAAAGTAATACACCGTAATCTTATCTA